AGTGAGATGCCGGGGTGAAGACGATCGAAACCTATGGCCAGCCCGCACTCATTCCCCCATTCTCACATTGTCTGGTTCTAGGCCCACGCGACCCGTTTCCTTTTCTAGCCAGAAGTGGCCGGTTTCGTTCTAGCGATTGCATCTTAGCCCAAAGAAATGTGTATTCAGAGCTGCTTAATCTCCTGTGTGAGTTTCCACCAATAAGTTAATCCAATTAAATTGGAACCACCAACCTGGCACTGTTCTTTGTCTCCCAAAGGTTTTAATATCTAGGATTTCATTCTGCATTCCCAATCGTTTTGGCATGCAGGCTGCCTCAGTACGCCCTTGTTTCGAAGGGAGGGCGCTGAGGGGCTAAGCAGCGTGGTCAATGACACGCTACGGTAACTTTAATTATGATTAGGCTTATCTGGCACAATGCTCTTTGGATCAACAAGCAAGGCCAGGAGGTCGCCTGTCCAGAGCTGAACTGGTCATTTATTTATTTTTAATCTCTTAGCAGATGGAATTCAGGTCAGACAATTGATTGTCCGCTCTGTCATTTCTTGGTGTGGCAAATTGCCGGCCGGGCCGGGCTGGACTTGGCCTGCATGGATCTCGGCAGTCGTGCCAGCAGTGGTCACCGTCCCAAGAGGATCCCAGAACTGGAGGCAAGGGTCTTGATGTGCTGGGCACGCTGCAACTTCCAGGACATGTCCTGCCCCCCCACCCCCACAGAGGCACTGCTTGCTCAGGGCCAGCCTATCCCAAAATACTTTGCAGGGTGTCAAGGAAGAATATACCATGGCAGGGGAAAAGTTATTTTTCCCCGAGTCATGAGGACGGCAGCCACACGTTGAAAAGCAGGGCGTTCTGATGGGTCGACAATGTCAATGTTGGCGGTACTTATAAAAGGTGCCAGCACAGCACCCCATGTGTCCATTCTCCATTGTTTTTATTGATTGATTGATCGATCGATTGATTTATATCCTGCCTTTCTCCTACAAAGGGCTCAAGGCAGCTTACATCATTCTCCTCCTCCATCTTATCCCCACAGCAACAACAACCCTGCGAGGTAGGTTGGGCTGAGAGTCTGTGACTGGCCCAAAGTCACCCAGTTGGCTCCATGGCTGAGCGGGACTAGAACCCAGATCGCCTGAGCCCCAGTCCCAGCTCTTAACCACTACGCCACACTGGCTCTTATCCCACTTCAGTTACTTGGACAGCCTTTTCCTGCAGAGAACTGTACACAGTTCCCACTTTTTAGAAGTGCACTTTTCTGTATTAATTGATTTAATTTCTATACAGCCCAATAGCTGGAGCTCAATGGTTGCATCGTAGACTTGTCTACGGAGAGTATGATCTTGGCAGTTCCTTTTTTATTCCTTTCCTCATTCTGCCTGCAAACACCAGTTGCTGAGGAGCTTGGGTAGGAGGAGGCCTTGCCCCCGTCCTGCTGGAGGGATCCTGTGGGCAGCTGGTGTGCCTCCACATGGACACACTGCTGGACTGGATGGCCCATGGTCGACCCAGCAGGGCTTTTCTTATATTCTTACAGCTTTACGTTCTTACAGACACGTTCTCATGACCTCACCTCAGGCACAGAGGATCGCCTGGAGTTCTTCTTTGGGAGAGCAAAGGAACTTTGTACAGGCTGACTAGTATGGCTAACTTTTGAAGGGTTAGATAATGCGTCCCAGAACTTAGCCATGGACCTCAAAAGAGGTCCTGTACTAAACTGTGACTCAAAGTAAGTGGCAACAGAATTTGCTGCAGGGAGCGTTCCTCCCCATCACCCCCCCCCCACACACACACACACAAAGAATGTGCAACAGCACTTTCCAAAGATTTCTAAGAGCGCTCAGCTTGCGGTGTCTGCAGCCAATTGACGAAGTCGCGATTGAACGATCAAAGAGACGTTCATAACCCAAGGCTATACACTTATTGTTTTTTCCCCAAGAAAATAGAAGTCAATATAGTTTTTATTACATCCTTTCCAGTCCCTCTTCTTTTCACTCCTCAAGAAGGAGGTGAAATCACACTGGCAGACGTGTTGTTCACCCCTGCGTTTCTATTGATTATTTTCTGTTTATCTTCCTGGATTCATGGTCTGTTATGAATCCGGCTTATCTGATCTGCTGCTCACGTGGCTTGCGGGGGAGGCCCACGGCGATGGATCCTTTCCTCTCATGAGCCAGTTCATTTCTAAAGATATCACCCTTGAACCACGAGCTTGTCCTACATAGCAAGATTTACAACCCCATCTCTGCCGTGGGGGAATGCAATTTGCTACTTTTCCGCTTGCTTGGACCAAATAGCAGATGGACGTCAAGAGGAGAGAGAAGGGAAGGCAGGCTGGAAATGAAGGGTGTTGTAACCCAGTGCATCTGGAGGGCGCCAGGCTGGAGAAGCAGATGGCAGATCCTGCTCTGCAGAGAGGTCCATGGATGATTTCTACCTAAATTACACGCCTGAAAAGGAGAACCCCAGCTGGGAATGGGCTTCTGAATGAAAGGACAGCTTTGGAGCTCCATTCCGTTCCGGTGTGACACACAAATTCCTAGGCTCGGCGTGGGCGCAGAGGTGCCCAAGAGGCACCCTTTTCTGCCAGGGCACTTGTTATGTTGTGGTAGCCCAGGATATCTTATTTGGGGTGGGTTTGAATCCCAGTTTCTGGGTTTTGAAGTCACCTCCTGAGTCCATCGCTTGTAGGGCTTAGCTACTCTTAAGTGGGAGACCTAGGGCAAGAGGAACCCCGCTGCGAATCCCAGGCATCCAACAAGCTCAGTGGGTGTCTGTTCACGGTTGACCAGTTGCAGTGAAACCCGTCCCATAGGTGGTGGCGAGGACAAACCAAATGTGGGGTGTGGGGAATTTACGTGCAGTGCCCAGAACTCCTTGGGAGGGTTGATTACAAGGAGTATGGGACTCCCTTGTTAGAACAGCTGCACTGGCTGGCCTTCTATTCCCAAGCTCAGCCGGGCACCGGGGAGATCCAGGTTCAAGTCCCCTCTCAGTCACAAAGCGCACTGGGTGACTTTGGGCCAGTCACTGCCCCTCAGCCCAACCTACCTCACAGGGTTGTTGTTGGGAGGACAAAATGAAGCTATGTAAGCTGCCTTGAGTTCCTCACAGGAAGAATAAAGGAAGAATATAAATGCAATGTGATAATAGTAATAATTATAAAATAAATGCATGTTTACATTTATGACTGGCTGCAAAATCGGAAGCAGCAAACGTGTTGATTTCTGCATCCCTGAAGCATTTTGCAACCCCTGTTTTTAATTCAGGGTGTTGAAGTTCTGTCAGTGCACAGGCCATATTTATTTTCAAAAAGCTAGTGGGGACCCCATTCTGTGGTGAATGGAACCAAAAGTAAGAGAGGTGTGGCCAAATGTTTAAAAATGCCAAAAATGCCAGTGTGTTTTAGCTGAATGTTTTTCATGTTGGTAATTAAGCCTTCTGAGAGGCATTTTAACCTTTTTAGAGCAGGAACACTCCAAATCTGGAAAGCCTCCAAACAGCCGGGGAAAGGAAACACAGCGTTCCGGAGAGCTCTGAGGGACCACGATTGGTTGGCAGGCCAGAGTTTCAGCTCACATCCCCTAATTCATAAATGGAGTAGGAGGAAATCGAGGGAATCTGCATGGCAGCCCAGGCAGGTGATCTAGTAGAATCCCTGGCCCAGAAACCGGTCAAAGCGAGTCAAGTGCCTCAGCCAGCAAATGCTGAGAGGGAGCAGCGAGGAAGAAGCGAGCGCCACGTGGCCTTCCTTACGCCCCCAGTCAGTGGCTTTCAGCCACTGGTCCACTGCTGGTCTGCGAGGGCTCTACATCCTGCTGGCCGAGGGCCGGCAGGAGGGCTGGCTGTGCTCCACCACCTCTTCCTTGGCTGTCAATGCGTTCACCGGGGGGGGGGGGAGATGCGCCAGTGCCCCCAGGAGCTGGCAGGGAGGGGAGAGAGGACTTGGTTAGAGCTGGCTGAGAGCCAGTGTTTTGTTCTTTTGTTGGCATTTTTTGTTGCTCGGTTTCTGGTTGTTTTGGAGAATTTTCATTTTTGGTATTGTGTTTGGAAACCAATGCACCGAATACCGTAAAATGTGTACGGCGCTTATTGTTTCTGCCTCAGTGGTCCCCGAGGTGGTTTTCCTGTTTTTGAGGGTCTCCAGCTGTGGAAAGGTTGAAATCTACTGCCCTAAGTCAGTCAGCTTCCTCCAGGTGTGCTCTCCTACAATTGGTGCTGAGGAACATACGTAACAAGGCCTGAATACGTGTAACCAAATATTATGCCCATTATTTCTTCTGTTTCCCTCCCCTTCCCGTTGTCCCTTCTGCACTAAATTTTAGATTGTAGTCTGCTTGGGTCAGCAAACTCTGAAAAGCACAGTGCCCATTAGTGACCCATTTTTGTCATCATCAGTAGGAGCAGCAGCAGCCATAGGAAGTCATTTTGTTTTAAAAATTAGGCCAACAGGCCTATGCACACATGCAGTTGCTCGTAACTTTTTGGAACAAGAAGGCTGAAGTTATGTTGGGACAACACCTTGCTTTGCTTTTTCATGGGATAATTATGAAGCGCGTCACCACTGCCATCTTCTAGGCTTATGAAAATATTTTGTAATTATCAATTTAATTAAAAGCAACGATAAGGCTAGTATAGACCACTGTTTCCCCAGCACGGGCAACACAAGAACAGTAAATGTGCAGTGTGTTGTATTTATCTGGCGGGCTGTTTTCACAAAAGAACGCTGTTCGCTGCAGCTCCGGCAGCGGGAGCGCGCTCAAGCCCAGGTACGAGTCGCTCTGACTGGCAGCCGCAACAAGTTCACCCGCGGCCACGGCGCGTCCCGCCTCCTAGCGCTCACCAGCCGAGCCCTGGAAACTACGAGTCCCAGAGGGCGCTGCGCCAGGAGGTGCCCCGGCCGGGCGACGTTTCTCCGCCCCCCCGGCAGCCGCGATAGGGCGAGCTCTTCCAGCCCGCCCGCGGATTGGCTGGGGGGCGGTGCGCGACCCTTGACACGGAGGCCGAGCCCAAGATGGCGGCGTCTGAGGCGGCGGGCCGGTTCAGGATGAGCAAGAGCAAGGACCCCTCCGGCCTGCTTATCTCCGTCATCAGGTAGGGGCGGCCGCCTCCTCCCCGGGGCGCGAGGGCCGCCTCTGCCCGCCTGGCTCTGCCGGACGCCTCGGTGGGCCCCCAGGAGGGGCAGGGCGAGGGGGGCCGCTGCCCCACGCCCCCTTTCCGCCCCCGAACTGCGGCCCCTCCCGGGCCCCGGCGCGGCCGGCCCGCTGGCTTCTCCTGGAGATCCCTGGGCGGCTTCCTGGGCGTCCTGCCCCGGGCCGCCTCCCTTGCATTCGTTCGCGGCTCCCACGTTGCTTCTTGCGCTTCCCAGTTGCGAATGCGGGGTGCAAATCCCTCCGACTCCGTGTTTGGGCAGTGGCAGCCCAAGGGTGCCTCCCGCCGCTCCCTCCCTCGCAGGTTTCTGCATCTAACGGAAGTCTTGGGACGTTTAGTGGAGGACGGGATGTGCAACCTACAAGTAAATAAGTACCTGATCCTGCCTAATGCTGGGAGCTAAGCGGAGTCGGGCCTGGCTGAATTCCGGATGGGTGACTTGCAATGTTGTGAGCCGCCCAGAGAGCTTCAGCTGTGGGCGGTATAGAAATGTAATGTAACAGTAACAATAATCATCTAACTGGTGCTAGGAAGGAGAAAGAAGGCGCGTGGATGCACACCCTGGATGTCCCGTTGCCCAAACCCGTTGGCTGCTACACAAGAGTTTCCCCATTTATTGTGTGCTCTTCTTAGCAACTGAATTACCTCCCCAGGCATTTTTGCTTTCCAGTCTCTGTTGTTCTAAATCTGCGAGGCTTTGGCCCAGTAGGTTGTGTCCCCCAGTGCTCCTAAGCCTGTGCACGCATAGGCTTTTAAGCATCCGGTGCAATGTGAGGGCAGTAGTGGAGCTGGGATCCATTGCTGCTGCTCCTGCTCTGCAAATTGATGGGATGGACAATTTTGGCTGTGCTTCGATGAGGAGGAAAGAGGAGAGATGCAGCCATTTCTACTCCCCTTCCTTCCAGAATGACCATTTTACCTTTTCTCCTTTACTTCCTCTTTTACCACTTAGGGTGCTGAGGGAGATAGAAGGTTCTGGCTCTTGCACTTGTGGCAGCATCAGCCACTCTTATGTGATGCTGTTGTAGTGTGTCTTTGATGCCGTCCCTCCATCTTCCTCTGGGTCTGCCTCACACTCTTTGGCCTTCTCCTCTTTTTGTGTATGCCTGGTAGGGTATGGACTCCCAAGACATTCTCTCCAGATGAGCAAACCATTTTATTTATGCCATCTTTGTATATAGTTAAGGATTAGTTCTATCCCAATGCTTTCCCTTATAATTTCATTCCTGAACCTTTTCCCTGATGTCATTTTTCTGGCCTCTTAGGAGCAGCTGGTGTAGTTCTTTTTGGCTGTGAGTTGGGAGGGAGAATCAAGCATTTAGCCACAGGTCTGAGGTCAGAATTCTTTTCTGGACATCTAATTTGGAAGTCTGGAGGATGGTATGTCCCTATCTCCTGGTGATGTATTTTATGGTTTTATTTGGTGTGATTGCCTAGAGAGTGTTGGAAGATGGGCAAGACAGAAATAAAAGCCAGTGTGGCACAGTGGTTAAGAGCATGGGACTGAGGTGTGGATGATTTGGGTTCTAATCCCTGCTCAGCCACAGAGCCAACTGGGTGACTTTAGACCAGTCACAGCCCAACTTACTTCACAGGGCTGTCATTGTGGGAATAAGATTGAGTGCAGGAAGAGTCGAATAATGTAAACTGTTGGGAGTTTGGTGGAAGAAAAAGTGGGATATAAATTAATAAATAAAGTAACAGTGTGCAAATGTACCTGGATTTGAAATTAGAACTACCTGCTAAAATAACTGGTAATGCTGCATTTTCATTTTTTAGCTGGATCAGGTAGGATGTTAGTGATGCCCATGCTAGAGCTGTGAAAACTAAATTGTTGGTTCAGCGTTTGGATAGGGTCTGCAGTGTGGGCTGTCTTGGATATTGTGGCCAAAGAATCATAAAGACTTAAATCACAGTCTAGAGCCCTGGGTGTTCAGAGCAGTTGTTCAAGAGAAGGCAAACTATTGTCCAGTGGGAAATTTAGTTCAGGTTATTTTCATCAAAGGAGCATCTCTTGTACGTGCTCATTCTGGATAATGCAAAGCCAGGATAGCAGCACCAGCACCGCCCATCCTCTGTGCTTACGTTACTGGGGATGCAGTGAAAATAACACGCCCCCCCCCCCCCCCCGGGGAGATGCAGAGAAGGAAAGAGGCAAGGCATGGGGGCCACCCAGAGAAGGTGCTCAGGGGCACAACCTTGTGGTGGAGGTCATGCGCAGCTGGAGTGCTTGCTTCTGACAGTGGGCTTAGAACTGGGACTGGCTCTGGGTGGCACTTCCAGCTGCAGGCGGCCTTCACGCACAGTTCCCTCCCCAGGAGTCTTCCGCATCTTTCGCCTTGCCTCTTGCATTACCTAGTTTTGAATGTAGTGGATAGCACCCACCCATCTCCTGTACTTGGATATTGCTGGGTGCGAAATGAATTTAAGAACGCACCCTTTGGGAGGCGTAGAGGAGTGAGGCAAGACTTGAGGCCACCCAGAAAAGCTCAGCAGTAGAGCACCTGCTTTGGCATCTCCAGGCAGGGGCAGGGAAACACCTCTGCCTCCTCCCCTGGCATGATAACCTGCAGCGCCACAGCCAGTCAGTGTAGACTGACATGGGCAAGGTGTAGCCCTCCAAATGTTGTGGCCCACAACTTCCAGCAATGCAAGCCGGTGGTGAAGGATCATGGGAGTTACAGGGCAAGGCACTGGGAGGGGCCCGGGTTGCCCATGCCTGGGCCAGTGACAGTGCTGACCTGGATGAACCCGTGGTTGATTCAGCGTAATGCAACTTTCTAGATTCTTACAAGACACAGAAGAGACAACATGCATATATTCTGTGTGCCGGGGTGGGGTGGGGTGGGGGGATAATAAAGGGGATGAGTCTGTCTTCTCCTGCTCTTTTACACTCCTTAGAGTTGCATGTGGTTGGGGGTGCAAAGGCAGCCCCCTCTTACGTCACTGTACACTTTAATGCTCTGCCAAGACCCCTTTTCTTTACAGATGTGTATAGTTGGCATGCCAGAGGTATAAGGTACGCTTTGCAAGCAACAGCTGCCCTCACTGCTCCATTTGGGTGATGCTGGTGGTGAGCCTGTGTCCTTTGTCTTGTTTTTTCTTTGCCGTGTTGAAGGGAATCTGACGGCGGCTGACTTCATCTGTCAGCTGCCCATGTCTTGTGTGTGGGCTGGCTGGAACCTTCCTGCACGGTTGCTTTCCGATAGCAGCACCTCCCCACGTTTGTTGTTCAGCAGCATCCTAATTTGCTGCCCCTGCCCACTCGTGGTGTATTGCGACTTTCCATCTGCACTAAGGGGCTGTTGCGCTAACGTGACTCTGTGAAGCGTTGGTGGATGGGTGGCACTTGCGATCGCACACTTCGTTGGCATGAATTCATGTGTCGGCCTGAATTTATATAGTGTCTCTTTGTTGTGAATGCAGATGGCTTGGTGCAGCATTTGTGAAGTTCAGCTCTGCTTAATTTTGGGATCAAGTAGAGCAGGTATTTTGAACATATGTATCTTAGTGAATGTAGCCCATCCTTTTGCAAGGTTAAGAGACAGGGTGCAAAGTATATCTTTTAAGTGCCTGTCAAATCAAGATGCAGTTAAACAGTTCACAATTTCAAGTATGATCATCTGTTTAATAATCGCCTCACAAACAGGACAAAATCTAGTGCCCCTTCTGGAAGAGGTGTTGACTTCATCAAGGCTGCAAAGGAAGGCAGCTCCAGAATCGGAGGCAGCCACAGTGGGCCTTAACATCAGATAGGCGTTGAAGGTTAAAATGGTGAAAAGCTGATTGCTGACAGAGCCAATATTCATTCTTAGTGCAAGCCTGGGTAGATTAGTAGTGCAGAAAAGGAATGTGGGAAGTTGCTAGGCCATCTGGAGATGGACATTAAGGAATTAAAACACCACTGGAATATAGTAATTTGTGTACTCCCTCCCTCATGCAGGAAGTGTGGATAAGCAAAAGTAAGGCAGGTAGACAAAGCTTGGATCTCGGGTGCTTGGATCTCGGTGTATATTGGCAGGGTGTGCTGACAGAAGCACCTGTAATCCCCAGATTTCCCTCTTCTGCATAGTTAGTATAAGATCAGGATAGGATAGGGGATAGCATACCACAGAGCATAAATGAGTTTTAGTGGAGTAAGAGAGATTTAGTGGAGCAAGGGACTTCAGATGGAGTCACTGAAGCAGTTCGTGTGCACTTAAGTGGGCTCCGGGGGATGGTGGAGAACAGGAAGGCCTGGAGGAATGTTGTCCACGGGGTTGCGATGGGTCGGATGTGACTTCGCGACTGGCAATAACAAGAGAGATTTAGTAGAAAAACCAAGTGTGTATGTTTCCCTAGAATTATCTGGCTGGCACTGCCTCTAAGCAGTGCCACCATATGGACAAACTTCCTTCCCTGGCATGAACCCCCTTAGCTTGGAATAATTCCGTTATTGGTATCCAAATGGTTAGGGGAACTTTCTGGTGCATTACTGGTTCTTGTTCTTCAAGCAGTATTACACCATGCTTGATAAAACAATTGCCTACAGGCCAGCTTTCGGGTATTTATTTATGCTCCTATTTGTTGCTCTACTCTTGCATCCCACTGTTTCTTGAAGGAGATCATGGTGGTGTTCCATTTCACAATACCTTTGTGAAGTAGTTGGGAATGACTCTAGCCACTAATTAGTAAAACTTACTAGGAAGTATTGACCTGCTGCTTAATTAAAATCGCTGATTCAGTCTTCATGGAATGGCAACAAATCATGGGTTAGTTAACCCATGATCTGATAGGTTGTATGCTGTTGTCTCTTTAAATATACAAGCTCTGATTGGTCCAATTGGAGGTTGCTTCATGGTATGCAAATCCAGACACTATGGGTTAATCATCAGTACAATTACTTCTTACATTAACTATGAGTTGTTTAACCCATGTTTAATCTACAGTCTCTGGGTTCAGAC